TTTCAGAGGCAACTTACTAATGCTTTTTTTTTTTCTAGCGTGGCTCTTTGCAAACTCTCTTTTGCACAATGGAATGCTGATACGAACGTTGTGGTCTGACCCACTTCTTATCAACTACATCTATCGTGCCAGGAAGCGATTTCTATTTCGTTTTCAATCCACGTATGATACGAATGGGACTACTAATCCCGCCTGTGTGATTCAACCTGTGGTTGCAAGATGACGTATGGTGAACGGTAACAAATAACACGAAAAATCACATAGGCACCTACGCAAAATTGCGCAAATATCGACGCTTTAGACCACAGCAAAAGCGCATTTCCGTAATTTAACCCCCTACATCCCCCTTCTCAGCACTTTAGATGATGCGTACTCCCAATTACCTTGATTAGAAGTCTTTGATCAAGTCCGCATTGCGAGCACCGAGGACCATCGCGCATACAATGGGTTAATTTGGTATAAGTCCTAATAATCTGTCAGATCAATGCGTGTTAGTAGTTTCTACACACCGAGCATCTGAAGAATACCGCGCAGCAATAAACCCGCTGGGACTAAATACAATACTATTTGTAAGTGGCAATTTGAGTCGCCTAATGCCAAAAACTTTACACTCCTTGGGTGGTTGGGTGCAGGGCTATTTAGTTTTCAGTTTTTTATCTATTTTGGTAGGCAAGTCGCGAATCGGAGCGTGCTTCTACAGGGGTATGTTGAGATTTAGCGTTCACTTTTATCGGAGAACTAAATGACCCTGTGGTTGGGTGCTAAAAAAATTGACACAGAAGTGAAAATATGTTATAATTAGGGTATATTGATGCTAAAATTGCGGTTTTTTACTACATTTTGTGAGTCATATTAAACATTTTGGTAGTACCTGACGTTAAAATAAGTACTTGCGAATAGTTTTCAAAGTATTTTTGCAACGCCTGTTTCGGTCAACTACACACGATAACAGCATCTTGAGACCGAAACTATCCCTCTTCTGTTTATAGGAGGAAAAGCGAATGAGTAGCAGAACTTCCGGCATGCTCAGTCAAATGCAAGCGCGTCGCGCTGAACGTAAGAAACCAAAGCGTTTTGTCGCATTGAAAAAGGTTTCACTGGATCCGAGCCAGCATCGCAGTATTTCCACGGCACAAGCGAACCTGCCGAAACACACCATCACGCAAAAACATATTAAACAGAGTTCCACCGCGTTTTCAGTCGCAATGGCGTTTCATGCCCTCATCGCTATATTCATTGGGACTTACGTTATCGTCGATCGAATTGAACAGGAAAGTGAGACGTTTGATGTCAGTATAGTCTCAGAAGAGTCAAAAGCGAAACGCCGGTTCATACGTCGGGAAGCACCGAAGTTTAACCAGGCACAACAGAATCAACAGAAACCCCTTCTCAAGCAACCTATACGGCCTAACACCGCCCAATTGCCAAAAAACGGGTTCATAATCCCCCAAGGCCCGGACACAGCACTTGATCTCACAACACCTGATGCTAGCGAAGGGCCCGCGCTAATAGATGTCAATCGGAATTTTGTACAACCGACAAGGGCGATCGAACCCGAAACAAAGGTACCCGGTTTTGAGATACCACGTGAAGCACCAAAACTGCTTGATAAACTTGACACGCCTGCCCCCGATGACGCACTTGGGGTGGGGAACATTGACATTACTCCCGAGTCAGGGATTGTTAATCCCACGTACAAGGTTAAAGTGAAACCGAAGTATCCGGAGAGTGCCAAGAAAGCGGAGAAGGAAGGCGTGGTGCTTTTAGAGGCGACTATTGATGAAAAAGGCATTCCCAAAGATATTGTAGCATTGACCAACCTCGGGTTCGGGCTCGAACAGGCGGCAATCGCGGCGTTGAAAAGAGCTACCTTTCGTCCCGCGACGAAGGGCGGTAAACCTATCAGTCTTGAACAGGTTCAAATACCCTATGAGTTTACGCTCGACTGAAGAAGGTTTTGCTTGATCGCCACCAGCAGCACAGCATTTTCACGGCACAAGCGAACCTACCGAAGCATCCCATCACGAAAAAAAAACGTTGAACGGAGTTCTGTCGCGCTTACATTCGCAATAGCGTTTCATATTCTCTTTGCACTGATCGTTGGTATTTTTTTTATCGCAGATCAGATTGAATTTGAGGACGAGAAGTTTGATGTTAGTATGGTTACGGAAAAGGAAAAACCACCACGTCCACCTATAATTCGTGAAAATCTGAAGTTTGATGCAAAACCGGACCAAATGCAGGAAGCCGTTCCTCAGCAACCGATAATAAATTTCGACAAACAACCGCCATCAACCGATGGACTCGTTATCCCGCCAGGTCCGGAAACATACTTTGACCCTGCAGTACCCGAAGTTATTGAAGGACCGAAAATGATAGATGTTGACCGGAATCCCGTACGGCCAACGCCTTCAAAAGAACAGGAAAGAAAAGCACCTAACTTTGAGAGAAAGCATAAACCAGCATCATTTATTGAGAAACTTGATACGCCTACTCTCAATGAACCACCTGAATCGGGTCCCATTATTCTTGAGCCAGAGCCTGGTGTTGTTCTACCTGTCGCCAAAAATGACTTCAATCCGAGGTATCCGGACATCGCGAAAAAAGCAGAAAAGGAAGGCGAGGTGCTTTTACAAGCGACTATCAATGAGAAGGGCATCCCAGACGACATTGTGGCATTGACAAATCTCGGATTTGGACTTGAGGAAGCGGTAATTGAAGCGTTAAAGAAAACCATTTATCGTCCAGCAACGAAGGCTGGAAAACCGATAAGTTTACGCGTTGAGATATCTATTACATTTACGCTTAAAGATAGTGATTAGCACACCGATTGCATGCTTGCTTATAGATGAAATAGAACGGTTGGCGTTCATCCAATTTTTAGCAACCCTTTAGCTGCGAAGTTACGCACCAAACTGACAACGGATTGCCGAGCCGTATCGGCGATCTGTGTCTGTTCAAATGTCAATTGTGCAATTTCTGCTTCAACAGCGTCTGCTTGCGGTGCTGACATATTTTCAAGGAACCGATCATGTATTGCTGGCGGGGCATTGTGGAGGGCAAGAGCCAAGGTCGGTTTGTCTAACACTTGCAGGATAGTTTTGATCGCTTCATTCTCCAAATTACTTAAGTCTTCAAAGGTCAACAGTTTCTCAGAGACGCTCTCTACCAACTCTGGTTGTTTCTCTGCCAACGTTTCCAACAACCGATTCTGCCCTGCTATATCCATATAGGACAACAGTTTAGCAAGGTTCGCCGCGCCTTCACCCAAGAAGGTCGTTTTTTGGAGTGCCTCCTTAATCTTGGCAACCTGTTCGTCCCAGATTTGTGTCGCGCGTTCGGCATCAACGATCTCTGTTGTTGTCACCTTCTCAGCGATGCGTACCTGTTTATCAAAGGGTAACATCGCGAAAATTTTTCCAGCATGCGCGGCGAGAGCATCTCCCATAGGTTCACTTTTCAGCTGTGCACACATCACAAAAAAGAGCGCAGCGTCGTTATCGTCTACATCTTGGAATGCTGCTAAAACAACCTGTGGATGTGTTTCATCAAGCAAAGCCGTCAATGCTTGCAGCGCAGCCGCATCTAAAAACGGAGAAGTCGTCTGTGAGTCTGTATTAGGAACCGACACCTTGCACCCCCTTTTCGCCAGCGACCACTTCGCCAATGAGAAAAGTAGACTCTCCAGAGGCATTAAGCGACGCTAAGGCGGCATCAACAGTATCAGGAGCAAGTACGACTACCATACCAACTCCCATATTGAAGACCCTATACATCTCTGTCTCTTCAACATCGCCTTTCGCCTGTAAAAACGGGAAAATAGGCGGAATCTCCCATGTCCGTTTCCGAATATCGGCGAGACACCCGTCCGGCAGAATTCGTAGCACATTCGCAGGCAACCCACCGCCAGTGATATGGGCAATCCCTTTAATCTCGCAGACCTTGCGAAGTTCCAGAATAGATCTCACATAACTTTTGTGGGACACCAGCAGTGCCTCCCCAACTGTAGCAGAAAGATCAGGGATGTAGGTATCAACATCGTAGCCACATCTATCAAATAGAATGCGGCGGACCAGTGAAAAGCCGTTGGTATGCAAACCTGCCGAGCCTAATCCGATGAGTTGATCGCCAGGGGTAATCTTTTCACCTGTAATCACGTCCGCTTTCTCAACCGCGCCGACAATAGTCCCTACCAAATCGTACTCACCGAGCGTATAAATATCTGAAAGTTCTGCGATTTCACCGCCGATTAATGCGCAACCAATTTCTCGACATCCCGCTGCGAGACCAGTCACAATACCTTCAATCGCCGCTGGCTCTACCTTGCTGATGCCGATGTAATCCAAAAAGAAAAGCGGTTCCGCTCCCTGAACAACAATATCGTTACCACAATGTGAGACAATATCAAAGCCAACGGTGTCATGCCGCCCCACTTTAAACGCGACCTTTAACTTTGTGCCAACACTATCCGTACTGGAAACAAGCACCGGTTCTTGATACGATTTGAGTGCAAAAGCCCCCCGAAACTCCCAACATCGCTGAGTACCTCAGGGCGGTAGGTGGTCTGGACGAGAGGTTTAAGCCGAGATATTGCTTCGGACTCTGCTTCAAACGAGACCCCGGCATTAGCGTACGTCAAATGCTTTTTATCTGCCATCTGATTTCTCTTGTTCCTTCAATAATTGTCTGCGAAGTGGAGAGACGCTTTTCCTCGGTCTTAACAGGCTAACGACTAACACAACACCACTAACACCTAAAGCAACGAGAACACCGATCTCCTGCGCTTTTTCAGGTTTTATATTCGGCTGCAACTTCTCAAGTAGTATCGGAAGTATCCAACTCAAAACCATTCCGAGAATCGCACAAGTAAGCAGAGAAATAAGCGTATTACGTCCTTGTGGTGTGCCTATCGGATTCGGTCTTTTCTGGTTACCACTCTTTTTATTCTGCATAGAAATTAGCATAAAAATCTTCCTTGTAGTTGCCAAGCCGATATTATAGTGAATTTTACAATTAACTTTACATTATTGAGTTGTAGGAGGGAACTCCAATTCCCGACTGCTAATGGGTTGAGTCGTGATTCGGAGATCACTCCTACAGAAGAAGGGTCAACTTATTTTTCTAATTCACTATAAAACATCAGTGAATCTACATAATCAAGGGCAGTTGTTCTGAAGATTCTTCCACAAACGGAATCGGATATTCCCCATCAAAACAGGTGGTGCAAAAATCCTGAGATGCTTTCACCGACTTTAGCAACCCTTCAATGCTCAGATAACCGAGGCTATCAGCGCGGATATACTTACGTATCTCCTCAACCGTGTGCGAACTCGCAATTAATTCACCACGTGTCGGTGTGTCTACGCCGTAGAAGCACGGGAATTTATTTGGAGGCGAGGCAATTCGGAGGTGTACAGCTGTCGCGCCGCCCTGCCGAACGATTTTAATAAGTTTTCTGCTATTTGTCCCTCGCATAATCGAATCGTCTACGAGTATGACCCGTTTATCGCGCAACACATCGCGCACCGGATTCAACTTCACTTTCACCATCAATTCTCGGATATCCTGCGTCGGGTTCATGAAAGAGCGACCAACGAAAGTGTTCCGAGATAGCCCTAAATCGAACGGAATGACCAGACTCTTCAGCGTATCCGAGCGCAGCAATCGTTGCGGAATCAGGCACCGGGATAACGACATCTGCTTTGACCGGATGTTCGCGAGCCAGTTGTCTACCAAACTCACGGCGCGCGTTATTCACGCTGTGCCCGAACATCATGCTATCCGGCCGTGCCAGATAGATATATTCAAAGATGCACTGCGATAACTCCGACTCCCTCTTATGAAAGCGCAACGACTCTAAACCGAGATGCGCAGAGCGTATAAATACTAATTCTCCCGGTTCCACCTCACGTATCGGTTCTGCTTCAATTACATCGAATGCACACGTTTCGGAGGCTAACACAAACGCATCATCAAGCTTACCGAGCCACAGCGGACGGAACCCGTGTGCATCGCGAGCCCCCATCAGTGTGGTATTATCCATGCATACAAACGAGTATGCACCTTCAACACTTCGTAATGCATCAATGATCCTGTGCTCTAATGCCTGCTTCCGCGAATGTGCTATCAAGTGGAAAATGACTTCTGTGTCCAAACTTGTGCTGAAGATAGAACCAGCATTCTCCAAATGATTCCGAATTTGCACAGCATTGACAAGATTGCCATTGTGACCAAGCGCGAGCGGACCCTGTTTGTAATTTCGTACCAAAGGTTGCGCATTCTCAAGCGTGCTTGCCCCTGCCGTCGAATATCGGTTGTGCCCAATAGCGATATGTCCGTTCAGTTTTTCTAAGACCTCAGCACTAAACACGGAGTGAACGAGACCCATGCCGTGGTGATACGTAAATTTCTCGCCATCTGATGCGATAATGCCACTGCTCTCTTGCCCTCGATGCTGAAGGGCACGTAACCCTAAATAGGTCAACTCTACCGCTTTTGGATGGCCGAAGACACCGAATACACCACACTCGTCCTTTGGTTTATCATCATACTGCATTTTGATGGTTAAAACCTCCAGCATGCGCTCTTAAATTTTCGCGACTGTTCATCAAGGAAGCCTTTCGCAATTTTATGCTTGTTCTGCACTCACTTCAGTATCTTCTACTCCTGCTAACCTATACCCCAATATCGCACCGATAGGAACAGCAAGGATATACCAAATTTCGACCGGCAAACTGAGGGATACCCACCCGCGCATCGGTAACGAAACAATATACGCGAGTGTCTTAAGCACAGGGATTAGCAACGCCAGAATCAGGTTCGGCTTACCAAATATCTCCCACGGCACGTTAAGAAGCGCAAGCAAGCCAACAACAGCTGGTGGCCCCAAAAATGCGCCGGAACAGAGCAGTTTTAAGGGAATATCAATACCGAATTTCTGACTCACAAAGCGCATCCCTACGCTCGCTCCCATGATTACGACACCATACGTGACAATCAGCGAGATGAGCAGAAATAAACCTACCCAGAAGCCGTGATTGACTCGATCCCCGATCAGCACTTGCCAAATAAAATTCTCAAACACAAACAGGCAAACCCAACCACCTACCAGTCCAATAATACCCCCTGTAGCAATCTGCCCAAGGGTCAACGTGATACTATTCTTTTTCATATTCTTCCGCCCAACTCTCTCTTAAATGTATTAACTCTATTGTATCACGTTGCAACATTATTGTCAAAATAATCTTATGCCTTCCAAGACATTTACTTCTTCTATATTATCAAGTTCTCGGACTGAAAACCCAATCCTTTAGGTTTGGGATGAAAGTCCGCCCTATTGAATTACTATAGTTTGAGTTTGTTGAAGATTAAAAATTTAATTCGGTAATTTCTTTGCGAAGCCCGGTGCGGTTAGGAATGCAGATCGCATTTGGGTGAGTACACCACAAAACCGCACCATAGGTGTCAATTTAAGAAAAACTGCCTCGGCGCATCGTAGGTTGGGTAGAACGGATGCCACCAAAACCGTAAAAATCATAGAAAAACGAAATTTTCTCCATACACGCCACATCAATAGAGACCGAGTGAAACCCAACGCTTTTGTGCTGAAGTGCCAGCAACTCTGACGGTATGAAGTTGGGTTTCACTGTGTTCTTGGGTGTATCTGGCATCCTATTGGATTTGAGGTGTGTTTGAAACACCGAGATCTGTCTTCTCAACGCCGTTCTACCCAACCTACGGGAGTACGGAAACCCTAAATTGACAGGATTTTATCAACTGTAGATATAGACATGCCGCCCTTACAGGGCTTGCGGCTTTGCTCGAAAATGCTGCTATAAACATGCCGTCCCTACGGGACTAAACAGGCATTTTGAAGTATACAAGGTTTCTGTCTAAGATCCGGCGCAGTTTCAAAGAGTGCCTACCGCGTCTGGAACCATGATGGTTGTTTTTCTTAAATTGACATGTATGGTGCGGTTAGGAATGCAGATCGCATTTGGGTGAGTACACCGCAAAACCGCACCTACCGGGCCTGGGGAGAATTGGAATTACCGATTTAAATACTGAAACTTCATTAAACTCAAAGAAAATACAACAAGTTTTTACGAGAGCAAAAGTAGAAAATAACAACCCCGTCTTTACCGGCGAGGGTCCCCGTGCCTTACCTACCGATAACCGACAACTGATAACTGAAAACCAACCCTCCTGAAAATCCTTGAATCCGGTGAATCCTGATTCCGATAATGAACACTATACATTACCGAATTAAATTCTCAATCCTCATGAACCCGTACCTACTGAAAACTGAATACTTTCCCCTCCAGAATTGGTTTGACACAATTTCGGTTTTGAATTAAACTATTGTCACAAAGTGAAGTTCTTATGTTCAATTACGCGTCGTGAGCGGCTTTAGTGCCGTTCCTAAAGGAGGCTCTTATGTCAAAAATCCTTGTACTGTCAGGTGAAAACCACCGTTTTAATGCAAGTGCCAGCGTCATTCACGATTTTCTTTCCGAAGATGCTGATATTTCAGCGACGTTAGCCGATGATAAAGGGATCTTAGCATCATCCGAGTTACATACCTATGATGCATGTGTTTTTGGCACCGGTTTCACGTGCACGGAACGCCAAGAGGACGGATCTGTCGCACGTGTATCCGATTTAACCCCAACTGAAGAAGACGGTTTATTTCGATTTGTAAGCGAAGGTAAAGGGTTAGTCGGTATTCACGGCACTGCGTGGTGGATCGGGGGTCGCGCCATGGACCTTATCGGTGGGGCTGCCAATTGGCATCCACCCGGTTCAACCTTTACTGTCCACATTGAGGACAACGAGCACCCCACAACCCAAGACGTTGAAGATTTTGATGTCGAAGATGAAATTTATATCTCTGCACACGATCCGCACATCCATATCTTGGCATCCGCTGAATGGTTCGGCAAAGCACACCCTATGGCATGGGTAAAGCCTTACGGTTCTGGACGAGTCTTCTACACCACTTTAGGTCACGGACCAGGCACCTTTGAGCGCACAGGGATGCAGAAATTTCTCACGCAAGGCGTAAAATGGGCAGCTGCATCATAACTAAGATTCTGTGAGGCGAGGCATAAATGCCTCGCCACGCCACATTATCGCATATACGCAAATGCAGACACTAAAAATCACAGACATAGAGACTGAAATTGTTCAGGTAAACCACCGCGGCAATTGGCTTTTCGTCAAGGTACATGCTGATAACGGCACAATCGGGGTCGGCGAGGCTTCCCACGGTAGGGATGATGACCGCGTTCAACATATCATTGATACCGTCAAACCCGCACTCGTCGGATGGAATCCGTTTCAACTGGAGGCATTTCGCCAACGTTTCTACCGAGACACTGAAAGCCACACTTATCATACTGCACTCAGCGGAATTGAGCAGGCGATGTGGGACCTGGCAGGCAAGGCGTTAGACGTGCCGAGTTATCAACTGTTAGGTGGAAAGTGTCGAGAAAAGATTCGCCTCTACGCGAATATCAACCGCGCAACTGTGGATCGCAGCCCTTCTGGGTTCGCTAACAATGCCGAGCGCGCCGTTGCCGAAGGATTTACCGCCATAAAATGTGCTCCTTTTGATGATGTTTCAGTCGCTAATATTTCGCGTGGGAGTCTAACACCCGCTATTTGTTTAGGCATTGATCGCATCCGCACAATTCGCGCCGCAATTGGTGGTGATATTGATCTGATGGTAGATTGCCACAGCCGTTTTAACCCGGGCATTATCATCCAAGTCGCAAAAGAACTGGAGGACTTACACCTCTTCTGGATTGAAGATGCTGTCTCATTGGACAATTTGGATGCCTTCGCGCATATAAGTCGTCTCCATTGGGATCCCGATTGCAACCGGTGAACGCCTACGGACCCTCACGGATTTTGAGAGGCTGCTAACCGAAACACACGTCGATTACATCTTGCCGGATGTCAAACATGTCGGTGGACTTTCGGGACTAAAGAAAATAGCCACGCTCGCTGCTGCGCGAAACGTTTCGGTAACACCCCACAATCCAAGCGGACCTGTTGCGACTGCTGCCAGCGTGCAATGCATGGCGAGTGTGCCGAATTTTGCGATCCTCGAATACGCATGGGGTGAAGTAGAGTGGCGCGCCTCCCTTATTGAACCACCAGAGAAAATCGTTGGCGGGTTTATTGAAGTGCCTGAACGAGCAGGTTTAGGTATTACATTATAAAAAACCTATAACATGTCAGGAGGAATAAAATGATATTTAGTAATATTGGAAACCTGAAAATTACACCAAAACTTGTTCCGCTTTTTCTTTTGATGAGTGTTGTCACAGTTATTGGGTGCCTCGGAAACCTACAGACAACGACAACCCAAACACAAACTGAAACCGATGAAGCAGCAACAGCGGAAGCGGAAGTCCCCACCGCCCTCGCGGAACTCCAGATTTCAACGCCTAAAACGAATTATGCTGTGAAGGAAGCCATTCCGCTTGAACTCAACATTCAGAATGGGAAATTTGATCTGTTCGTCCCATTTTTCAGCGTGGCAACGAGAGGCGCATTTACACAAATAACCGTGAATGACGCGAACGGACAGGTTGTTAAACCAAAGCGTGTGATCACGCAAGAGAATCCGGAAAAATATGTTGCGGCAAGCGATGGAAAATCGGTCCGGTGTATTCAGGGGTTTGAACTCAAAGCATCCGCGAATCGGGAATTGTCCCTGAAAGATATTCAGCCATACTACCAGTTACAGCAAGGAACTTACACCGTAACCCTTACAATTGAACTGGAAGTTTACAAAGAATCTATAACCGAAGAACACCCTGAAATGCGAGAATTAAAACAAGATATGGCGCGCATCCAGAAAGACCCGAACCTTCAAGGTGCTGCGAAGCAGGATGCCGTCAGTTACTACCAAGAACAGATTAAGTTTATTCAGGAGAGACACAAGGACGCGGTGAAAGATATTTACCTACCCGTCAAATCGCTGCGTGGAAAGACATCGCTTGTATCAAATAGTATTACCTTGACGGTGGAGCCACCAGCCCAGAAGACACAAGACGACACACTATCAGGGTTTGAGGACTCCGCCTCAGTCGTTTCCCCGACGTACAAGACTCATGTGAAACCGAAGTATCCAAAAAGTGCCCAGGAAGCGAAAAAAGGAGGCACTGTTGTTTTACAGTTAACCATCAATGAGAATGGCATTCCAGAAGAGATCGTGGCACTGACAAATCTCGGATTTGGACTTGAAGATGCAGCCATTGAAGCGTTGAAGAAAAGCACTTTTCAGCCGGCAACGCAAGAGGGTAAACCCATTAGCAAGGAGGTTGAAATACCCTTTGCTTTTACCATCGCGGATGTCAACGCACCGTAGATAAGGATTCTTATGCAAACATTCAAAAACCCCATCTTACCCTATCTGCTTCTAAGCTTTAATGTAGTGCTTCATCCAGTTTGAATTTTAGGGTAGGTTCGTAGTCGTGCGACTTATCGCATGTCCCAACGTCAACAACGGGAGACCATGAATGGTTTCCCTACTACTAACTGGATTTACCTCTAATTTGAAACTGGACAGACCATTAGGTTCAAGCAAACATCGTGGTGACAATGCAGGTTGGGACTGGTTTGATCCTAAAGTTTTACCTGTTTCTCCCAAACCCCAACTGCTCACCACAATCTGGGGTAAAATGAAGATTCCAGACTAAATCTAAACCTTCAATGGAGTCTGTTATGAAACGTCTATATTTCTATTTTTTCTGTTACATCAGTTTTGCTGTGTTATGTTTCAGCGTTTGCCAAGTTTCAGCACAGGTGCCAACACGTCCCAAGATAATATTCAACTCTAACCGAGACGGCAACGGTGAAATCTACATGATGGATACGGATGGTCATCAACAGGTTAGGTTAACCCGGCATCCCGCCGGCGACGCACAACCTGCCTGGTCACCAACAGGTGAGCAGATTCTTTTCATATCCAATCGGGACGGGGTGTACGACTTATACCTAATGGATCCCAATGGAGAAAATGTGAAGAAGGTCTTTAAAAATGGATCCTTTAGGCAACAACCGGCGTGGTCACCCGACGGCAAACAGATAGCGTATTTAGGAAATAAGGGAGGGGACTGGTCAATCTACATCGCGACACTTGACGGAAAAGAGGAGCGTCTCGCATGGTGTGGCAGAACAGGCGGGTTTCCGGCGTGGTCGCCTGACGGAACAGAAATAGTCTTTGCTGCTGCACATGCAATAGGGCAAGCTCCCTCGCCACTCGTTATTCACAACCTGCATACGGGAAAAGAGGAAACCTTTCATCCACAGCGGCAGTTACGGATGTTCTATCCTTCTTGGGCACCGGATGGTACCATTACTTTTTCGCACGTTGAGAGATTGGGTGCCGGCGGCCCGGTTAGAGGAACCCTCTACGCTGTCAATCGCGATGGTAGTAGTCTGAACGAACTTGTCCCAGAGAAAGAACCGATACCTGAGCACGTTACTTGGGCCCCACCCATGGATGAACTGGCTTATCATAAAAGAGTCGGTGAAAATCGACAAATCTTTAATATTGATTTGGCAAGCGGTCAAAGCAAGCAGCTGACAAGCCGCGGTATAAATGTCTATCCGAATTGGTTCGATCCAACTTTCGCTCTACCAGTGTCCCCCAAACTACATTTACTCACCACGATCTGGGCAAAAGTCAAAACAACCCATTGATATTTCAATCTGATACCAAATCTGAAAAATAAATTCACATTTCAGAGATTTTGAAACTCATAGAAGGTTTCCGCATGTAAGAGGCGCAATAATGCACGTCGCATTTGGGCGAGTACGCCGCAGAATTGCGCGACTACGAACCGGTTTTCGTTAATGAGAAACGGTTATTCAGAAATGGTATGAAATAGCGTTTTCACGAAACAAGTTTGAACACGTCACGTTCATCTAACGCCTATTGACTTCTCCCACAGCTGAAGCAATGGGATTCCTCCGTTCTTGTTTCATAGTTTATTGCCTCCCTTGCGGAGGACTTACACAAACTCCACAAGCGTTTTAACTCTCCGCCAGCCCGACGGCGAGGTTCTTTAGATTTATCGCAGCGTTTATGTCTCTATCTATAGAAACACCACATTTACTGCAATCATATTGTCGTTCTGATAATGACAATTTCTCTTTCTTATGCCCACAACGACTACATGTTTTACTTGAGGCATAGAATTGTGGTGCTTCTACAACAGGTATGCCAAGCACTTCTGCTTTAGACTTAAGTTTTTCAAGAAACCCACCTAATGCACTATCCGATAATGCTTTAGCAAGTTTTTTATTCTTAAGCATGTTTGTAATTTTTAGGGTTTCTATGCCGATAACGCTTGCTATATTTACTATCTCTGTAGTTGCTTTATGGTGAGCGTCATTTCTGATACAAGCCATCCGATAATGGATACGTTCCACTTTTCGTTTTTGTTTGAAATAGTTATTAGATAAAAACTCTTTCTTGCTCAATTTACGTTGTTCACGCTTAAGTTTTCGTTGAAACCTTTGAAGAGGTCTCGGATTAGGATACTGCTTACTTGTATCAAGTGTGGCAAGTGAGTTGATACCTACGTCTATACCGATAACAGGGAGTCCACGTGTGTCTCGTGGCGCATTAGGTTTGCCTGTATCTACCGTTATAGAAACCAACCAACGGTGTGCTGTCCTTGATAGAGTAACCTTTGTAATTTCACCTTTAAATCGTAACTTCTGAAACATACGCACCCACCCGATTTTAGGCAATTTGATATGCTTGCCTTCTATCTTGGTGGTGCCGGGATCGGTGCTATAAGATTGTCGGTTTCTCCGTCTCTTTTTCTTTGGAAATCTATTTTGACCACTTTTATATCTTGATATAGCGTCGCCAAAATGCTTTATACCAAATAACGCAGCACGCTGGTCTAACTCTTTCGTCCAATCTATTGCCTTTTTTGCTATATTAAAACGCTTGTTAAGTTCTTTCCAGTGTCGGGGTTCGTCTGTATAATCCGACAAAGCGTAATTGAAAGCAAAACGTGAATAACCAGATTGTTTAGAAAAGAATAGACACTGCTCGGCTGTAGTATCTAATGCTATTTTATGTGACTTGATTGCCATTGGAACTCTCACGTATCACGCTTTTATCCCCGTTTCAGTGGGAGACAGGCACGTAGCCTTGCGACTACGCTGAAACTGCCTGTCAACGTGATGCTATAATTATACTACATTATATGGCAAATGTCAAATCTTTTTTAACTTCGGAGAACCCGAGCGTTACTAAGTTGGACCCACAGCTAAAGCAGTGGGATTGTTAGACTTATGCTCTTCATCGGCTAAAAATTTTACTTGCAAATCAGCATAAAATGATATATAATTTTAAGAACAAAATCGTATATGCTCGAAAGTTTTCGCAACATCGCAGTTCTTAAGGATAATCCAGACATGCTTTTTAACTTTGCAAATGTGCTAATCTTCTTGATTGTTGGTTCTCTATTTGTCGTTCTAAACCTTACGATCTCTCGCCTCCTGCATACTAAGCTGTTCTCAAGCGAAAAGTATATCCCTTATGAATGTGGCGAAGACCCAATCGGCGATACACGATCAAGTTAACACCCGTTTTACGTCATCGCGCTCATCTTCCTGATTTTTGACGTGGAAACTGTGTTCCTTTTCCCGTGGGCAGTTGTTTTCAGGAAACTCGGACTCTTTGCGTTCGTGGAAATGCTTGTCTTCATCGTTATCCTGTTAGTCGGACTTGCCTACGTCTGGGCAAAAGGCGATCTGGAATGGATCCGATCCACACAGTTAGAAGTACAATCCGTCCAGAGGGAGGAAAGTTATGATGATTGATGAGAAACTGGATAAAAACGTTATTGTTAC